TTTGCCACATGGATGAGAAAGTAGAGAAAGCCCATCATTATAGGGAGAGAAGAATAAAAAGGACAGTGTGTGAAGCAGAGGGTGTGTGTGTGTGAGAGAGAGAGAGAGAGAGAGAGAGCGCGCGCACGTGAGCGCGCGTGCGCGTGTGCACGCGCTCCCTGGCGCCCCACTGTTCAGGACCTAGAGTTCCTGGAGGCACCCACATCCTTACGAGAACCTCTCCTGTTTGCTCAGGCCAGATGAAGCTGGCTTCCAATTCAGCGAGGTGAACTGAGATGCCTGGCTTTGGGTCCTGAACGGCCTCCACCAGCCACTCGCACTGCACCTGCAGGGCGGAGGGTCCCAGCTGTGTCCCCAGGACTGCATCCTGCCAGCACTGCTCTAGCGGATGGGGCAGGACCCGCTGGAGCTGGCTCCTTCTGCCCTTTACTGCAGGGTCCCTGAGGCTCAGGGAGCCCATCCGACTTGGCCAGAATCATACAGACTTGGAGGTGGGGGCCCCGGAGAACCAGCATTCTGAGCTTCCGCCTTTGATGGAAGGTGATCTGGGTGTCCTGTGTTGACCAAGGCCGGGGCAGGGGTATTTGGTGAGGACAAAAGCCAAGGCCAATGATTTTAGCCCATGCCCCAATGGCCCTTGTGACAGAGGCCTCAGGGGTGTATTTGTCACTCACACATTCCCACAGCTCCGCTGAGCCCCTCCTGCGCTGGGCACGGCTCCTGGTGCTAGGGACATAGCAGTGAGCATGCTGACCTCTTGGTGCTTGCGTTTCTAGAGAGACAAATCTCTCTGGACACGATGGCGCGGAGCATTGCCATAAACACAACCAGGAGGTCTGATAAGGATGAGTGGGGCGAGGGCAGGGAAGGGCACTTGAGGACGAGGGAGATGCAGCCGTGTGAAGGGGAAACATCTTAGCAGGCAGAGGCGGTGGCAAGTTCAGAGGCCCTGGTTGGATGCTGGTGTGTAGCATGCTCCAAGGACAGACGCAGGCCTAGTGGGCCGGGACAGGAGGAGAGGCGCATGTGGGGGTCCATGTGGGCCCCAGGAGGGAGCTGGGTTTATTCTAAGTGCTATGGGAACCGCCGGGGAAGGTTTCCAAACATGCCTGAAGCTGTGTTAGCCGCTGGGGATTCAGAGAAGAGCAAGACGCATTTTGTCCTCTAAAGGGGCCCGACCGGTGAACTGGCAGTGTCGAGCAGTATAGAAGTAGTACGGGGTCCCACGAGATCACACAGGACAGGCTCCCAGCCCAGGGGGCCCAGCGGGGTGGAGACAGGAAGCTAAGCAGGAACCAGCCGGGCAGAGAACAAAAGGGGAGAATGGGGGGCAGGCGGCAGGGAAGAACCCTGGCCCCTCAACAGCTTGGGCGAACACCTGCGGGCAGGAGCCCAGCACACTCCCTAGGAGTGGAGCCACTGCGTTTCCATCTGTGGTGACCACGCTCAGGATGTCACTCGGCGACTTGGCTCGTGTCACCATGAAGGGATCCAACCCAGGTACCCACGACACCCACACGACGTGAAGGAGCTGCTGTGTGTCAGCGCACGGCCAGCCCTAAGGTGGCAAGGCCTGCCGAGAGCCTCATTCCAAACTACATTAGAGACCCCGAGATTCCAGGACGGCCACTTGGCCGGAGGGATTAACCCTTTGGGTATCTTAGTCAGCTGGCGAGTGGTCAGCTTCAGCTAACAGCGCTTCTGGCCTCTCCAGAGCAAATCCCCAACTGTGAGCCCCGGGGCTGTCCTAGATGGGCAGGAAGCTGGGCCACTGTCCCCTGTTGTCCAGCAATAAGGACTCTGGGATCAGGCTCTCCTGGGAGCACGAGACAGGGTGAGGTTGCCTCGGGTCATGTCTGCAGTTGACTCTCTGCTGGAACTCCTGACCATGGTGCCCGTAAAAGCTGACGCCTGGCCCTGGATGCAAGTAATTGTGAGAAAGATGACATCTGGGGACTCGATTCTAATTAAGAGACAAATTAACGCAGTAGCTTGTGGCACATAGGACGTGTACAGACCTGTCAAAGGCAGGAGGGAGGCCACTTCCAAGAGTGAGACCTCAGTCAACCTCTGCCAGGAACACAATTCTTAGGCGTATAACCACGCGCAAAATGTTCACTCAGCTGGGGACCCAACACGCAATGCAAAGTAAAGCAATAAGGAGACGTCACTATTCTGCCGATCGAATTGGAAAACATGCTTAAAAATAATAACACATAAAACTGAGAAAGGCGGAGATACAGTTACTCTCTCTTTGTCCTCTGTCTTGAGCGCAATTAGGCAAAAATGTATCAGAGGTTTAAAATAAACAGACTCTCACCCTGTGTTCCCACTTCAAAAAGTCTACCCCAAAGAAATTACCAGAGTTTTCTCAAAGTTTACATGTATGAGGATGTTCAGCTCAGCATCGTTTGTATACAAAAAATAAAAGGAAACAACCCACATTGCCAAACACAGGAGACAGGTGCATTTGACAGATCTATAAAATGACCTATTACATGTCCATTAAAAGTTAAATTTTCAAAGAACTGTAAGGACAGGAAACTCTTACAACTCAGTAAGATAAAAAAAAATCAGTACTAAGGTATATAACACAGTATCGATTTGTTTAATATATATATGTATGTGCATGAGAATAAAACTGAATTAAATAGCAAAAATAATAACGGGATTCTGGGTAGTTTTAATTTCTTTATGATACATAAATGCAGGAGGAGGAAGAAAGGGGCCATCGACATCTTTCGAGCACCTTCTCTGTGCTAAGCATTACTGCGCCCTTGACAGTCGATCTCATTCCAATCTCACCGGGCATTTGGTGTGGGATTCTGTGACTGCATCCTGAAGTTAGAGACAGGGAGACCGAGGCTCAGACAGGTCGGAGACTTGCCTAGGGTCCTAAATCTGAGTCTAGGTCAGGCTCTCTCACATCAGGCCATTGCTAGTTCCTCCACCACCCACCATGCCTCTGGGTCACAGTTCGAGGGACACTGCTCTGGCCACACTGTGGGCAGCCAACGTGGGCAGCCTGCTGTCGGACCATCCCCTCCCTGCTGCTGAGACCAACCCTCCGCCAGGGCCTGGACACTGTTCCTTGCTCTGAAACTGTCCATCCTTTCCCCCAGCCACACATGCGCCTCTGGTGTCCCTTTTCTTCCCTACATTACAGACAGTAGGAGAAATGACATTTTACACTCGTACTGTTCTTTCCTTCCATCCGCATTATCTGGTTTGATCCTGACAACCACAAGGTCAGACGGACTACGCGGCGCTCCTGTGTCCCAATTTCACAAAGGAGGAAGATGAGGCTCAAAACACTTAAGCGACCCATGCAGAGTCATCCAGATTTTAAGCCAGGACTCAAAACTATATCTTCAGACCCACATCTAGGGCTCTGTAGAGACCTCAAAGGTCAACCAAAGGATTTTAGAGATGAGGAAACTGAGGTCTGACAGAATAGGTGGACTGTTCAAGGTCACGGCCATCTACAGCAGAACTGAGACTGAAACCCATGGCTCCTGACCCCAGAAGACCTAGCCCTCGTGCAATGACAATGGGAGCCAATTATACCGACTCCGCTAACAATGGGGCTTAACGATGCCAGCTCCACCAAGGACGTAGGAATGATCAGAATCACACTGTACTCCCATTCCACAATGAGGACTTCACCCCGACACCCCTGTCTCCAGGACAGCGGCTGGTGGGGAGGGTCTGGGGAGCCCGGCAGGTGAATGAAGGCAGTGGTTAGAGTTGGGGGACTCTGCTTCTTGCAGTTCAGATCCTTTTAGGACTTGTTCACGTGGGAGAGCCTGCCTGGGCTTGAAGTGACAGCTCGGGGGCCTGCGTCTGCTGAAGAGTGATTGTCCCTGCCTGCGTTTGTGCTTAGCCGAGTATGGAATGAATAAGTGAGCACAGGAATTCAGGGCATAGATGAGCGGCATCCTTGAATTCTCAGTATGTGGAAAATCAGATACATGGAAGCTAAATCTGCATCTCCGTCACCTTTTATAATGTGTTCCGCACGGCACGGGTTCCTATTCTGTCAAAGCCTTTGGGGACAAGCTGGGGTCCGGCTCTGGAGGTTGCCGCTGGGTCCCCTGCTCACCAGTGGAAGGCCGTGATACCTGAGGATAAGGACGCTCTGCCAGCTCCGGGTCTGGGGCTCATCCCATTGGATGACGAGGTCCCCTCCTTCTCAGCTCTGCCTTTGCTTCCTCCCCACTGGCTTTCCTGGGGCCCCTAACTGCCGTGCCCTTGTGTCAGGTGGGTATGCACGTCCACGTCACCACTGGAGAAGGGCACCGGGCGAGCAAAGGGTACAGCAGCCCACGGTGCTTTTTGCTCAGTGATTTCGCATTTGGGCTGAAAAGCCACAGAAGTGCCCATCTTCACTGCATCACTGGCTCTTAGCTGGCTGCCATCATTCTTCACCAGGAATATCCTCACTCCTTTGGGCCAAGAGCAAGCGGGGAGCTGAGAAACCGAGACCTGCTCAGGCTCTGGAGGCTGCTGGAGCGTCCTTGGAACTGGCTGGCTCTGTCTCCCCGTTAGGGGAGCGAGAATGGCCCTGAGCCGTGTCCCTACAGAGGACGGTGAATTCCACTTAGGACGGGCTATTAAAAAAGCCACACCCACCAGCACTAGGACCCAGAGGTCCATGCGATGATCTCTGTCATGAGTGACAGAGAAATGACAGATCCCTAACTTCAGACAGCAGAAAGTGGGCTTGGGGGGAACGACAGCATCAGAGTCCAGAAACCGGGGAGAATCCAGCGGTGTCCCTCCCCACCCCCTTACCCCAGCGGAGTGCGGGGAAAAGTTCAGGCTGCGAACGCGCAAAGGTCACACCGGGAGCAACTCCCAGCCAGGGCTGTTGCTCTCCGGCACCCAAGTCTCCTCCTCCAGGTTCCATCAAGGCCCCTGGGCTGTGCTGGCCTCTCCCGGGCCCCCAGCCCCTCCTCCGCTCCCCCAGCCCAGCCCCGAGTCCAGCCGGCCCGGCTCACCTTTGGGCAGCTTGGACGCGTTCTCCTGGATCCAGGAGAAGAGGTGGGCGAAGTCGCAGTCGCAGAGCCAGGGGTTCCCGTCCAGGCGCAGGGTGCGCAGCGCCGGCAGCGCAGCCAGGGCGGCCACGTTGAGGCTGCGCAGGTTGTTGTCGTTGAGCTCCAGCACCTGCAGCGACTCCAGGGTCTCGAAGGCGGCCTCGTGCACGCCGGCCAGGTGGTTGTTGGCCAGGCTCAGCTTGACCAGCCTCCCCGCCGAGCGGAAGGCGCCGGCGCCCAGCTGGGTCAGGTTGTTGTAGCTGAGGTCGAGGAAGGCGAGCTTGGCCGAGCCGCTGAACGTGCCCTCCTCCAGCGAGCGCAGCGAGTTGTTCCTCAAGTCCAGGTAGACCAGGTCGCCGTAGAAGATGAAGAAGTCCTCGGGGATGCGCTGGATGCGGTTGCCGGCCACCAGCAGCTTGCGCACGTCCAGCGGGAAGGTGTCCGGCACGCTGGGCAGCCCGCGGTCGCGGCAGTCCACGGTGTGCGGGTCGGTGCAGGCGC